GGGTTTACCTGACCTTTGTCACTGGCACCCAGTCACCAAACCACCAGAACGTTAATTTTTATAACACCTAAGTGAGATAGGATAAGGTGTATTGTCTGTGTTGAAGGAAAGAGGGTGTCACATTCTCATTGCTACACCACAGCTCCTGACTAGGGTCACAAGGAGAAATCACAGCACCCAAGGTGGGTGCACTGCCCTATTGCTCCACATTGTGGCTACAGCTGCCTAACCCAGGTGACATGACTGCTTCTCTCCATCCGCTATTTTGGTAGTCCTTGGTGGCCGGAACGTGGTCCTAAATAACTAGCCAAGGTCATACAGGAAATAAGTCTTGTTTTCCAGCTTCCCAGACAGATTTCCTAAAAATTTCATCACTTCTGTTTTTCATTCCTGATGAAATATTAGTTATGGGGTGTCAGAAAGGAAGGGTTGTGTTTACTGTTTCTTTTTCCCTTTCCAGCTTGTTCTTTGTCCTTTTTTTTTTTGGTGTGCAATTAACTATTTAGTCAAACTGCAAAGAAGTTCTTTCTATTCACTAGAGAAAAGCCAGGTCTGAGATTCAGTTATAGAGAGGATTATTTTCTTTAGGACTGCAGATCATCAAAGGCAAATAATGAAAAAGCAGAACAACCTATGTTCATCTCTAAATTATTCTATCACAAACAATGTTTACTCGGCATTTTGATCTAAAAGCCAAAAATATTGAAAAGTAATTATTTGTCACTGGACAAACATAAAAACTTGAAAGGTTAAAAACAATCAAATAACAATACTCAGACAGTCTCAAGTTACCCAAACTCTGCTTCATCATTTCATACGTCTTGTTTATGTAGCTCCACACAGCAGAAATCATTGGCTTGGCACTCCCTAGTTTAAAAATCTTTCTTTGTCAAGCTGAGGTTTGCTGTGGGCAGAACACAAAATCTTAATGACTGTAAATCTTATCTAAACAACAAAACCTCTTTTACTGTGTGCTTGACTATTGACTAATATAGACTATTACCTTGTAATTTTTAATTTCAACCCAGTAAGTCTCTTCTGTCAATCCCAAAGGCTCAGCTCAAGCAGAGAACCTAGATATTGAATTGCTTGATACTACACCTGTTGAAATACAAGTTCAGTTTGGCTTTATCACAGAAGCAATATTTATTATGAGCCTTTTTTTCCTTTTTCTAGAAAACTTATACACAAGTAGACCAAGAATTGCTGTATTTCTGTAGGTGAATCTTGGAAAGGAGGCAACATTTTATGAGTCATTTTGAGTTAACGGCCTCTAGAATTCTTTAAATAGTTTCACTTCATCCACTTCATGTGAGTAACAGCTTCTAACTATTTCTTTCATGAGACCTACCTTGCTGATTGTTCAAGGTAATCCATGCTCTTGTAATGACAAACTACTCAGCACTTTGCCCTGTCCTTCTTGGATTCTCTTTACCCTTGCTGTTCAATGAAGCCCCCTGGGCTTTTTACTGCATTCTGGGGGCATTCTGATCTACTTATTTTCACCCCGAAGGCAATCCTTACCCAACCAAAGCCCCTGAGCTGCCTCTCTATTGTACCAGTGAAGCTGCATAAAGGACAGTCATGTTGTACTTTCCAGAGCAGCAGCTGGGTTACAGATTCACAGAATCACAGAATGGGTCAGGTTGGAAGGGTCCACTGGTGGTGTCATCTGGTCCAACTTCCCTTCTCAGGCTGGGTCTTCCTAGAACACATCACACAGAATTGCATCCGGGTTATTCTTAAATATCTCCAGTGAGAGAGACCCCACAACCTCTTCTCTAGCCTGTTTCTTCTCTAGAAATCAAGCTTGGTCTCTATTTCCACAGTTGGCTCTGAGGACAAAAAGGAGGCTGGATGCAGGTGGGAAGAGATCAGAAGTAGGAGAGCTGAAGTTGGCATGAGCTGATTCCTCATGTTTCTCAGTTCACATGGATGCATCAGAGAACATGCTGTGAGGAGAAGGGAACATATTTTGTCTCAGACTTAGTCTCCAGACTTGGAGGGTTACTCAATGGACTCTAAGGGTTGACATGATGAAGTCTCAATGTAGTGGTTAGGGGTCTGAACATGACCATAGCCTTGATGTCACGGTTTGATGACAGTATGTTTGGAAGAGTTGTGAATTCCACTGGTGCCCAAATATTGGACATTAAAGTCCAACAGCTGTAGTCAAGCTCAAATAAGGAAGAACATTTAATCCTCTTATATTCAGGGATGTTTTGTAATACTCTGGATACAAATTACTCCTAAGCTGCATACACACCTCCACACAAATGCAAGCATCAAAATGTGTGTCTGGGTTGTAGCTGGAGGGCTGGCTGGGGCTCAGCAGAGACAGGTTCAATGTTCTGGCCAGCTGAAGAAACACTTTGGGTGTGTGGTACAAGCCCAGATTCTCATAAAGATTAAAATTCTTGATGCTCACTGTACTAATACTCGGGAGCCCAGCATTTAAGGGCCTTTGAGATCTTGGGCCTTGTCTTGGGTTCAATCTGCCTGAGCATGCCAGCAGTTGTCTTTTGAGGAAGCAGTAGTTGTATTTTGCTTCCACACCAGGAAAGAGTGAGGGAAGTGATGATTAAAGCTCACCAGTGTGAAGCGCCCTCATGGTGTTGCAGCAATGGTGGTGTCCATGTCAGATACAAGATTGATGAATCTCTGTATGATGGGAGGTGTAAACTAGTGGGCTAAAATGAATGTCGTTGGCATGACACACTGAAAGCAAAGTGGTGATTTCTACCCTGTTCTTATTTTTCTATATCTAATTTATTCTCTAGTTGGACTTGATGTTAATGCTTTCACACAGTCAAGGCTCCACTTCAGCAAGTGTTTTGCATGCATAAAGGCTCACCTGTTCCCAGCCTTCAGACATATTCTAACAGGCAAAAGTAACCCTTAAATATGAAATAGTGTGGTTTTTTTCAATGCAACTGAAATTCCTTCTCAAGATTTGCTAGACTGGGGTAGGGACTTTTCCCTCTGTTTCTGTACAGTTGTGAGCATAGAGGTGCTTGGGGTGGGGAATCTCAGCAATGTTGGCCTATAAAGAATAGCCATGTTAGGGTGACAAAGCGTGTTAATGAGCTGAGTTTTAAGTCTATGTTAGGGCTTTTGAATCCTTTCTGTCCTTAACTAACTCAATTAAGCTAAGACTTGGAACAGAATTCATCTTGTTTGCTCAACAAAGCAAAGTTCTGAATGAATTGGGCTGTGGAACCAAACAGAAAGATCATGGCTTATGTAACATGGAGGTATTGCCAAGGTTAAGTTGGCCCACATCCTGAAACAAAACTGCTTCCATAAAGAAAAAAGGGATGTCTTTATCACAGAACACTCCCTTATGAAGGGAATAGAATACCCAATATGCAAATTGGACCCACTTCTTGGGTAAGTCTGCTGCCTTCCTGGGGCTGAGTTAAAGACGTGAACAGAAGCAGCAGCAGTCCTGCCCTGGTACAGCCTTGGATTATTAACCATTATTATTTTTTTCAAATAAGCAATGATGAATTTGCAACAAGAAGTCCGAGAGCAGTCAAGAGAGGCTTCGTGGCCTTGGGATGACTGATTAAGAAATCAGAAGCACAAGTGGTATTCTACTCTGTCTTTCCAGTTGCAGAGTACAATGAGGGAAGAAAGAAGAAGATTCAGTAGGTCAGTACTTGACTCTGAGCCTGGTGTCATCAGCAAAATTTGCAGTTTTTTGATGGTGGATTAGCTTAGACAATATTAGGCCTGCTGGCAACAGATGGGGTACACCTGCCTCAAAACTGGAAAAAGATCTTTGCACAGGAGATAGCAGGGCTTGTCAAAATTACATTAAACAATATTCGAAGGGTAAAAGGGATAAAACTAGGCTTGCTAGAGATAAGCCTGGGGGCAGTATGACAATATTTGAGGGACAGTGTGCTGGTAAGGTTCTTCAGTCTGCTGTCTCAGAAGAGGCAGGGCATGGAGATCCATGAAGCAACAAAGATGAATGGGTTATTGATGTGTTAGAAATCACAGAAGTATCTGAGAACTGGGATTACCATCCCACAGAGCACCATGGGAACTGGGGCTCCTCCACCCCCAAAAGGTGGTGGGATCAACAGCTCAACTGAAGTCCATCTACACCAATGCACAGAGAATGGACAACAAACAGGAGGGGCTTAAAGCCACTGCATAGCAGGAATACTATTACATAGTAGCCATCATGGAAATATAAAATCTTAGAATCATAGAATATCCTGACTTGGAAGGGACCCACAAGGATCATCGAGTCCAACTCCAGCCCCTGCACAGGACAATCCAAAGAGTCACACCATGTGCCTGAGAGCATTGTGCTAACACTTCTTGAACTCTAGCAGGCTTGGTGCTGTGACCACTTCCCTGGGGATCTTGTTCCAGTGGCCAACCCCCCTCTGGGTGAAGAACCTCTTCCTAATATCCAACCTAAATGTTTCCTGACACAGGTTCATGACATTCCCTTGGGTCCTGCCACTGGTCACAGAGAAAAGATCAGTGCCTGCCCCCCTGCTTTCCCTCATCAGGAAGCCTTGGACTGCAATGAGGCTTCCCCTCAGTCTCCTTTACTTTCAGCTGAACAAACCAAGTGACCTCAGCATGGTGGGACAACTCACACAGCTGGAATGCTGCAGTGGTTAGCTATAAACCTTCAGAAGTCCTAGTGAAGCAGGGATGTTTCAGAAAGCTGCAGTTTGGCCACTGTGACACGCATCTACAACAAAGCAGCAAAGAAGATCTGGGAAACTACAGGTCTGTCATCCTGATCTTGGTGCTGGAGAAGGTTATGGAATCTTGAGAGCCATTGCACAACACATGTAGGGCAACCAGGGGATCGTGCCCAGACAGTGTGGTTCATGAAAGGCAGGTCCTACTTGAACAAGCTGATCTCCTTCTATGTCAGTGTGATCTGGTTATTGGATGAGAGAAAGGGTGGGGATGTTGTCTATCTGGACTTTGACAGATAGTAAAGCCTTTGACACTGTCTCTTACAGTGTTTCCCTGGAGAAACTGGTTGCTCATGGCTCGGACAAGTGCACTATTCCCTGGGTTAAAAATTCACTGGATGGTTGGAACCAGAGAGCGCTGGTGAGTGGAGTTAAATCCAGCTGGTGACTGGTCACAGGTGGTGCTCCTCGGGGCTCGGTATTGGGGCCAGTATTTTCTGCCCAGCAGAAAAGGACCTGGGGGTGCTGGTCAACAGACAGCTGAATATGAGCCAGTGTGTGCCCAGGTGGCCATGAAAGCCAATGGCATCCTGGCTTGCATCAAGAATAATGTGACCAGCAGGACTAGAGAAGTGATTGTCTGTCTGTACTCAGCACTAGTGAGGCCTCGCCTTGAGTGCTGTGTCCAGTTTTGGGACCCTCCCTGCAAGAAAGACTTTGAAGTGGTGGAGCACGTCCAGAGAAGGGCAACAGAGCTGGGGAAGGGTCTGGAGCACAAGTCTTATGAGGAGCAGCTGTTGTTTAGCCTGGAGAAAAGGAGGCTCAAGGAAGACCTTACTGGTCTCTGCAACTCCCTGAAAGGAAATTGTAGTTGGGTGGGGGTCAGTCTCTTCTCCCAAGTAACAAACAATAGGACAAAAGGAAATGGCCTCAAGTTGTGCCAGGGGAGGTTTAGATGGGATATTAGGAAAAATTTGTTCACTAAAAGCATCATCAAGCATTGGAACAGGCTGCTGAGGGAAGTGGTTTAGTCATTGTCTCCGGAGGGATTTAAAAGATGGGTTGATGTTGCACTTGGGGATATGGTTTAGTGGTGACTTGGCAGTGCTGTGTTAATGGTTGGACTTGATCTTTTCCAACCCAAATGGTTCTATGATTGTATGACTTTCAGACCCAGCACTGAAAGTCACTTAAATGCCATAAGACAGATGTCTCTTTTGTTTTATTTTATTTTAATATTTTATTTTATTTTAATTTTATTTTATTCCAAATGATGCATTCAGCCCAAAGAGCCATTTCTGAAGGTGCAAAACTGTGGGTACTAAAAAATTTGGCAGGTATCAGAGCATTGTGTAAACTAATAATTAAAGGAAAAAGCATATGCAGATTAGGAAAAAGCACTGCTGCTGAAGTAGCAGGTTTTTTTGTCAGGCTGTCAGGAGCCATTCCGCATGTTTTTTGTGTATTTATTATACCCTCACACATGCAGTTTGAACTCTCACAGCCCAGAGAGTCTTGCTGAAGATCACTGAATGCTACTGTGAAAGAGAGGGAGTGGAGATCAGTCCCTGTGTGCCACTTCATATCACTGAGGGGAGGCAGCTGGCCACCTACAGCCTGCTTTCATTCATATATATATAAATATGGTTATGTATCAAACTGTGTCAAGGCCATTTCCTTGTCTTTTGTATTTTTTTTGCCAGACTTTCCCTTTTTAGACAATGAATTAATTTATGTAACCTCTGAGTGTCCTGAACTGGTGGGAAGCAAGTTGAGAGGCACTGATTTTTTTGTTAAGCAGGCATATGGTGCTTTCAGCTTGTGGTTAAACATAGAGAGTACAAGAAAAACTTGTTAATAATAAAGATGTTAAGTAGGTACCAATGGACTGGGCTGATTGCTAAGAACGGATCTTGCAGTCATAAAACAGTTTAGAGCCTGGAGCACTTGGGCCAGAGCACTAATTATTATACATTTTAGGTCTATTGTCTTGACTCTAGGAAATGTATTATTTTTTGTGATTTTCATTACATGTTGGATTTAAAAATAGACTGAGTTACAACCGGTCGTTGTTCTACTGGGATGAATTATAGTTTGTTGAAGCAACTGCTTATTTTGTCTTGTCCCATGGCATTATGTGAAGCCAGACAATAAAAAAAGGAAATATGAGTGGCATTAACCTTTTGAAGTAGAAGGAAAAAGGAGCCTTAATGAAATAGAGCAATCAGGCAATTATATTGCAGCTCTTAGTTATCATATAAAAAAGGAAACTGTGTCCTATATCATTTAACCCTTTGCCTTCTGCTGTGGAGGTGAGGTATATGCAATAGACACACAGGCATTGTTTTCTACTGAGTAACTGATTGGTGCTAATTAAGAGGTGCTAGAAAGAGATATATTATTTAGGGATACACAAAGGAGCAGAGTCAAGTTGATGCTGTGTGTCTTAATTTCTGCAGTTCTTGCTGTCTGATAATGCAGCCCTGAGTTATAAAAAATGACTTTTTCACAAATTTTCCTGCCCCGTTCTTCCTTCTTTTCCTAAAGAAAGGTAAGACACTTGCTAATAGGGATGGTACTGTTGTCTGTCTACAGTTACTTGATTTTGAGTTTTTCATTCCATCTGGGTGGTATTTTAAAGACCCAAGTGTTTTTCAAGTATGTTAAGAACACAAGCTCCGAAATAGGTCCCACAGGCATTTAAAAAAAAAAAAAATCCTCCCACTTCTTTTGCTGAGGGCATGATCAGATGAACAGCTCTGAAAAGTGCTGAGCCAAACAAAGCTATCTCCCTGCTGGGCCTTCCCACCCCGCTCTTTGTGAAGGTTGTCTCCAATTTGGTTTTGCAGCTTTAACCATTTGTTTGATTACTTCTCACCCAATTCAGCAACTAACCTGAATTAAAAAGCAAAACCACCCCCCTTTGACTTATTATTTTTTAAATGAGGGTTTACTTTTTTTTTAAGACTCTCTCACTTGACTGAGATAATTTTTCAAATCTGTATTACTGAGTGAATCTTGCAAGGTCCCAGGAATAACTGCTTGCCCATGTCAAAGGACAATCTTGTTCTACAGGGATACCTAAAAACCAGGGTACCCTCTTTTTTTCTATTGTTGAAGGACCACACCCCCTTTAAACTCTTTTGCAGTTTGAGAATTAGGAGTCTGTAATTCAGAACTTCTTACCCGTTTTTTGACTTAATGAAACATCCCTTTGCATTTGATAGTAGTTAAATTGATACCTACTAACGAAACCTCAAGTCAACACTGCTTCAGTGAAGCAAAAATCATTATCTTCCCTGAGTCTCCATCCTCCCATACTCAAACTAGATGTAATTTCTATTGAGCAGAATGGATCCAGGTTGACTTACTGCCACTGTGGTCTGGCTTGTGAGGCAAAACCAATCTCCAGGATGCTGTTCCCATAGTAAGTGCCACAGCCCTGGACTGAAAACTGCAACAAGGCTGTATGTCCTAAATCACCTCCTTTTGCAAAAGCCTCTCTTAATCGGATCAGTTTGTATGGTTGATGTCAATAAACAATAGATGCCCTTCTTGTGGAGAGAATGATTCTTAGAACAGAGACAAAGGAGCCATCTTCTGAAGATGCTGAGAGAAAAGGGGCAAGACTTTCACTTCCAGCCTCCATTGCAATAAATCTCCCACAATCAACTCTTTGAAAACAACTTCCTTGGCTGAGGAATGGAAATTGAGCATGAATTTGAGGAGATATCAGTGAGTTGATGTACAATGAAGGAGAGTGCCTTGATTTAAGTTGTTGGCCTGACATTTATTTGTAATAAGCAATCTTGCTTCAATTGAGAGCTTCAGCTCTTCTGTTTGGCCTTGGGCCTCAGTTTCATGCCAGAAAAATAAGATGGTGATTATTTCCTTTCCCTGTCTTGTAAACTGTTTGAGGCAAGACCTGACTCTCCTGTTAACACAGTGCTTGGCAGGAGACGTTGCTGATCGGCGCTGGGGCCTTTTGGCATTTCCTATGGTTCAACTGGAAGTATGTAATTATGTACTTTTAAGGGCAGATACCAGAATAAGGCCTCCTAAATCCCTGTTTAGATATCTTTGATAGATGTAAGTTGTTTGGTTTCCTGAGCAGACAAGTGCTCATCTGCAGTTCCTACCGCAAGGACTCTCTCAACTCACCTGAGGTGAATGGAGAAATAGTTTCATTTTTGAGACTCTGCCTACAGCAAGCTCTTCCCACTGGATAAGACTAGGCATCCACCCAAGAACTGTATCCGTGTGTGGATGCATGTTTCATCCATGCTCCTTCTGGATTCGTTCCAATGCAAAAGTTTTCCCTGAACAATTAAAATGCAAATGTAGATGCAAATTGTGACAGACTAAAATGGCAAACTCACCTGCAGAAGGATCATAATATGTGTCATCTTTGGCATTTCTCTCCCTCTCTCCTCACTGTTTTTGTTTCATCAGTCTATAATTTCCCCATACAATGAGGTTCTCAAAGCCTTGTCAAAACACAAGTAGCAGTCTAGTTTTAGGCTGCTTCACAGTGTTGATTCCTCTCTCAGACAAACATTTCCTCTCTGGAGCACAATCCAATAGGCGTGTGTTTGCGTCTGAAAGCACACCCTACTTTAAGGATGAAGGGATTTCTTGGGAGCACATAATAGTACCTCTCCTACCTGTGCCTCACCAGGGCAAGGATGCTGTCTAGTCCCAACCACTTCAACAGACGCATGATAGTATTTGAAAGATGACTTACTCTGCCTAGTTTAACTTTGAAAGTTTACTATGTAAATTAACACTTGTTAGATGGTTAAATTATATAATTTTTGCAGTAATGGAAGAGCTGCTGTATGTACCAGCATATACGAATATACGGAAAAGAAATGCCTGTGATTTCAAACAGACAGTCCAGAGGACAGAAAGGGAAATTGGTGAACCTGCCTGATTCACTCATGAGTTCTCTGGAAGACCTGAAATTGGGACCCATGCATTCTTTTGGTTCTTAATTCAAATGTCTCGCTTTTGTCTTCTCTCTCTCTGCCCAAACTGTGTCACTGCAGCTTTTGGGACTGCTGTGAACCGCAGTGGTGTTTGCTGTGACTCTTGATGAGCTTGGCCATATCACAAAGGGACAATTACACCCTGGGCTAGTTGTTCCAGTATGAAATCTCTTCCAAGCCTTCCTCCATCTTAGTTTCTTCATTTCCTCTTCAATTGTTTCCCTGGACATCCTCAAAGAAAGAAATAAAAATAAAATAAGCTTGGGATCTGACTGTGGACCTAATAGCAAACGTTTGCTGCTATTGTGTCATTTGCTCTGCTTGTGTCTCTTATCCTTGTCCCCACTTGTTTCAGGTTTCCCACTTCCCATGTTGTTTTCTTGACTGTAATTACGGGGTGTCCTGCAATCAGGCCTGGATTTCTGCATAAATGTTCCTGGCTCTACAGTGACTGGGAGTCTCTTTGTGCTTTGTGGACAGACCTCACGAGATATGACTCAGCAGAGAAGCAAATTTGATTCTTCATTCCCTGATAGGAATCATCAATATGTGCTTTTGTGATTCATCTTGGTTATCAGGCCTATAAGTTCCTTCATGATAGGTAGGAAGTGAAAGCCATTTGTGATCTGGGAACACTATTGCTATTTTCACAGCAATTTGAGAAGCTGCCTGGATCTGCAGCACCCAGGCAAACAAAATGCCCATGGTTAAAACGTGGTTTTGCCTAACCTGCCTGTGTTTGAATGCCTTCAGAAGATAAATACTATGGAACATCTTTCTTCCTATTATATCCCCTTGGTATTAGTGCTATTTTTTACTAAGAGGGAATGTTTTTTTAATTTGACCAGAGATTTTCTCATGGGAGTTTGCATTACAGTAATGCAGTTTAGGCATCTTTCAGATGTCTGAAAAATATCACTTTAAAATGTCTTAGATGATTTTTTTTGTAGAACACTTTGGGAATTAAAAAATCTAAACCTGTTTTTGCTACTGATTATTTACTTCAGGATCTTAGAGCATTTTCTTTGTCAAACCTTCTATCTGCGGCTTATAAAAGTGAATATAATTGCTTGTTCCTGATGCTACATCAGTCTCAAAGCTACCTCAATATTTGGCAAAAGAACACTTGGATCTTCAGTTGTTACGAGTGGGATGAATCAAGATGAGACACTATTATCTTTAAAATCAAAAGGAGGTAGCCAACTCCCAAAGTCTCTGTGAGGATGACAGCTTTCTGTCTGTTTTCTGAAAACAGGAAAGAAAGAAACCTTACCTTTTATTAATTGTTTATACATAAAGGGACACAGACAAATATTTCTGTACACAAATACATGAAACACACTGCACTAATTACACCAGTCAGATGCTGGTTGTAGGACAGTTAATTGGTTTTCAGAATATCTCAATCAACACAGGCAGCAAGACACATGTCCACGGATTTGAAGAGTCAGCAGTAATAGATGTCTGTGAATTCTCTGTTGCAAAGTAAACCTTTATTTTCACTACAGCGTGTTTTATAGTGCAATAAAAAAGAAGGAAGTCAATAGCTATATCTAATATAACTGTAGCTGAAAAGATACTTTACTGATTCAATATTGCTTGAAGGGCAGTGTAATATAGGTATTTGACCTTAACCAAGGGCTCACATGCAGGTATTGGGTTCAGACTGAATTGTTGATGAAAGAAACAGAGCCCAGTTCAGACCAACAACATGTTAAAAGGAGATAGATTTCATATTATTTAAAAAAAAAAAGAAAGTTGTCTACAAAGTCCTTTCTGCCTTTAATCCTACTTAGGCCCACCTACTCCTAAATACATAATATATATATATATATATATATTTTTAACCAGAAAATTTGTTGCTTTTTGGTAAAATTCAACCTTAAGCGTAGTTGGTCTTTCAGTTTTTTTCTTTTGCTATCATCCTAGTTAGTTTTTCGCTAATGAGAAAAATACTTTTTCATCATCTGTTTAGACTAACAAAGACAGGAGAAAAAAAAAGAGAAAAAGAAAAAGTGGGGAGAAATGTCTGTACATGTCATTGTGACAAAATCTTTTCTCCTGAGTTCTGATACATGGATATTCCGCATCTCAAACACACTGAAATTGCTATTGGAATTGCTGGGATCACTCGTGGTGCATAAACACAGGCATTTTGCAGGACAAATACCTGATTCATGAGGTCTTCTAGCATCACTCGAAGTTCATCAGTGCCTTTACTATGACAAATCAGAATTGCATTTCTGCCACTATTGCTATGTTTTGGAGGAGAAAGAATAAAGTTATCCAGGGTTTGCAGGTGCAACAGCATAGGTTTTCAGGTGTAACTGAACCTTTTCTTGAAGTAGTCCCTGTAGTATTTCCAGACAAGTGTAAGTTTGCTCTGACTGTACTGTTAACGAAGTGGAAGCCCAGTAGGCCTCCTTGTCATGTTTCTGAAACTAAGCTAAGTCTTCTGATAGTCTGCATACACTGACTCTGCACCGAGTTAATGCATCCAGGAGTCAGCTTGTACCTTTGGCAGACTAAGCTTATATCTGCCTGTAAACGGCTGAAGAGTTATCCCTTGAGTGTTTTCCTGAAGTCTCCTAGTGTCAACGGCAATCAAGAACATTTTAAAGCTGCCCATGGTGTTCCTATAGATTTCAGAAATAATGAATTTAAGCGAGGGCTAAAACCCAAATTAAATGGTACCTCCATGTTCAAGACTGAAACAATTCCAGTTCTGGGAATGCAGTCTCGGATTTCGTGTTCCCAGTCTGAGCTCACCCGAAAGGCAGCTCCTGACTGAGTTTTACTGACTTACTCAAGATCTTAGGTAGTACTTAAACTAATCACTTCAACAAGTATATAAAAGCTCAGATAAAGAGAAATCTTAGCCTGAATCTGACCTATGAAAAAGACTTACTGACTCCAAAGAGGTAGAAAGTAGTGATATCTCAGCAAAATATCCTGAGTATTTGCTAACAAGCTCAGTTTGTTCAAAGTTTGGGTGTTTCACTGTGTTGTCCTTCTGACCATTCCTTCCATGCAGTTTAATGCAGTTTTTCAGATTAATATATGTTGTCCTGATGCTGCTCAGCTAAGAACGTTCCATATTCTCTCTGAGTCAAAACTTTTTTAAAAAATAGTGTCTTGGAAAATAAATCCTTTAAAACTGGACAAATAATTTTTTTAATGATTCTGACAATAAAACATTGTCTTGGAGGGTCCAGCTGTTGCCACTGATTGGTAACAGTGACTGTGAAGATTACACATGTGTTTCAGTGACCTCAATGATTTTCTGGTTCAAAGCTTTTGGTGTAGGGTCACCAACAAATTTAACAAAGCATCCTGAAAAGGTACCTGCTGTTTCTGGCACATCCCAGCAATTTTTTAGATCTTCTATTCCCTTCCAGAATCTGCAGGAATGGTGATAAAGCAAGATTGTTTTCCTGAGGAGCTTTTTGCTACATGGAGAAGTTTGCTTTTGAGAGAAGGCAGCAGAAATGTCTTATTACCCCCAGAAACGGATTATTTAGGAGTAAAATTAGGAAATGATTGGTCAAAGTACAAGTCTTTTGTAAAATGATGTTGAATGGACTTCCAGAGAAGAGAGTCCAGGATTTACCATCATTTGAGATAAACTGAGGTATTTCAACCCTTCTGGGCAACTGTCTCAGGCTTTTTGTATGCATGTGTGGATGTTACTGTATATATCAGTGCCTTGATCTGACATTGACTCTGAGTGTGGACTCAGTGCTAGAAAGTGGTGTGGACATATATTTGGAGAAATGAAGGCTGAGAAAGTAAATGCTACCATGAACAAGAAACTGCAGTAGTGCAAGTGTTGGGTTTTCAAAGAGTGTGGATTAAAATGAGAGCAATGAGTGTGGAGTGTTGCCTTTTTCAAGAGACTGTGATACAAGGATGAATTGTGAGGGTGTTTTTTTGCATCGAGGAGAGACTCATCATCCCCTCTAGAAAAGCAAAAGGTTCTTAACCATGGACCAGTTTGAATTGAAGATCAAAAATCCTTCCTCAGCTCTGTTGTGCCTCTGTGTGTGTGACTGTGGTATTTTTGCTTCTTGATAATGTCTCCTCAGGCTCTGTCTCCATGGGTTTGCAGCCTGAAATACTGGTTCCTTGATGGTCTTCCTCAGAAAGCTGTAGAGCCAGAAACGCAACTGGCAATTATATTGTAAACTTATGTATTTAAAATTAATAAAGCACAATAAGATCTATTATTTATCCAGTTGGCCAAATTATTCCTTGGCATAACTATTTGATGATTGTGTTTCATGTAATGGTTCCATATAGAAAAGCCTAATAATTAGCCCTAAATGTTAGAGGGCTATCACAAAGTAGAGCATCAGCAAAGATTTGGGGACTGGAATCAGATGGTTGTCAAGGTCCCTTTCAACCCAAACCATTCTATGATTATTTCAGCAGAAGGCTAAATCACCCTTTAGAAATGTGCTTGCCTGACTTTTGTCTGTGCTGTAGTATTACCCAATAATGATGCAGAAAGAAGTTAGGTGCCTGCAAACTGTGTGATATTGTGGGCTGTATGTGGCCCACAGGTGAGAAATTTATTGTCATTTACAGACTCAAGGCTACAGGTCACACATATTGTCTGTTGAATCACTAAGTACTTAATTCCTTATTAGTTGAAGTTATTAATGCTGTGTTTACTCTTTGGAAATTGCAGATGGAACATATCTGTGAAGTGCAATCTAATTCACAGGGCAGGCTACAAACTCAGGGAAGCCTCCAGTCATGGAAAAGCCATCAGGTGAATGGAGACACTTTTGCCCAGAGGAAGCCACAGATTTCTCATAGGGCATCCTGTTAACAGTGGGATCTGCCTTCATGTGTTGGGGTGGAGGATCAAACACTAGGCTGCCTTGGGAGGTCTCTTGATGGGAAAGTCTTTTAGAGAGAGAACAATATATGTTCATTTTATATAGCTCAAGTTGAGGTTCCTATGTTTTTATGGTAATTTTGGATATAAATATCTCAGTGCTCATGCTGATAGAAGTTAGTTTTAGAGCTACAGAAGCTTCTTGATTCAAGGGCTTGTGTTGAGAGCTGCTAAAGTTATAGAAGATTCAGCTCCTAGTTTAATCTACTCTTTTCAATTTATCATCTTCTGAAAACATGTCATAGGATGTTCAGGAGTGTTTGTGTGACTTAGAAACTGGATTTACTGAGGGAATTTTAATCTCTTTGGTAATTTTTCACAAACCAGAAAGATATAAAGGAAAAAAATTCTGAAATTTTCAGAAAATGAAGAGAAATCACAAACAGCAGAGCATTTCACACAAATATTTGCAATGGCTTTTGGTCAAAACATCTGGAGACTAAATTTTGAGCTGACCAGGAAAATGCTGTTTTG